TTCCATGAATAACCCATTACAGGGTTAAATCTTACTAGTACAATAAATTATGGATGTAAAACTATATAACACGTAATTACAACAAGGAGTGACGACCATTTCCACCGAGTACATTAATGAACTAATATAGACGTCGACCTATAGATTGATAGTAACCAATACATAATCAAATACATATAAAACTATATTACACTTGTAAATTTCATTTAAATCATTCCTCCAAAGACAATTTACATACTCATTTTCATATGTAATATTGNTTGAATTTGAGTTGATTATGAGTTTATTTTCAATTGATAATTAGCTCACAATAAGTTCACTTTAGTTACTCACACAACTTGACACAAGCCATGGGTTCCGGTCCGGACTTATAAGTCTGAACCTGAACCTCTGGACTTGAGTCCGGACCTGAACCTGAATGTGAGTCCAGGTACGCAGCACTACACAGGTATGAAGCAATTTGCAGTCATACGTTTCAAGTTGAAGTGTACTTGGAAGTTGAGGGTGTGGAGGAGTGAGGGATGTGAGAACTGAAGCAGGTGAAGGAGAGGAAAAGGAGTGAGGGGTTGAGAGATAGAGAAGCCAGAGAGAGAGAGAGAGAGAGAGAGAGAGAGAGAGAAGCCAGAGGAGAATGTGGGCGGTCAGCCAGCTAGCTGTGACAGGTGCAGATGAACCGCGGGTTGTACAGCTGGGTGCCTCCTCATCCCCAGAGTCTCCGGGCAGCAGAGACAGGCCTGCCAGCTGCCCTCGGGAAATCATTCTCTTCAAACAAATGAAGTGTGAACACTCTCTGCCATATGCAAATAAGCGCCATTTGATATCTTCTCTACCTGTACTGTTCTAAATGTCAAACCCTTTCGGAGGGCGGGGGGATTCGAAGAATGTCACACAGCCACAGGTGTTGTGTTTTTCCTTTTGATTGTGCCTACTGGGTTGTTGGTCAACAGTGTTTTGTTTAATATCAAGAAAGATTATGTTTGTTTACTAGATCATGGTTTTCTTTTAGTTTCATAGATTTATTTTGACTTTTTATCAACCTACTTTTAAATTAAAACACATAGTATAGCATGGCTTCACACATAGTTGTGACCATTACTTTGTTTATTCCAATTATATATAATTACCAACATCGTTTACTTTTAGTGCTGGCACAAAAAGTTGATAAATTGACGTATTGATTGACTGAAATGAATTACCGCAATCTATTTACTGTTAGTAAATGTATTATATTTTGGACTGTTGATCAGAAGAAATGGCTCTTTGACCATCTTTCAACATTTTATAGTTTGATCAATTGTATAACTGATAGCTTTGTTCAATGACCCAATCTAATTTTGATTAGAAAGTGATGTTGTTATATTATTTGCAAATATCTGCCCTAAATACTCAGTACAGTATTAACATGTTATGCAGTGAGCCGTTTAGTGGAGAAAGTGAATACTGCTGAATACACATACTTTACAGAGATGCTGTATGCGAAACCAATGTGAGTTTGGAAAATTGCACAGTATTTTTCTATTTTAGTATACCTCAACAATGGAATTATGATCAGTGGAAATGGCCATGACATGTGACCTTTAAAGTAAAATGCTTCAATCTGGTGCACTTTAAGCAGAATTATTACTAGATCTAGGGGGTACAACTCTAAACACCCATATGAAAAAGATTGGTTTACATTTTATTAATCAAATAAGTATGTGAACATAACCAATAACCTACCATAGCCAATAACAAATAAATGTAACTTATTTTATTTTTGTTGTTCATTCATATCTTATTTGACNCTCTCTAACGGTTTCAACATAAACTGTACCGAAAATAAATACCTCACGATGTCTATCTAATTATGAACTTGCTTTACTTTCACGGAACACATTTATGGTGATAACAAACAAATGTAACAAAGTAACATATTTACCAACACATGTTCTACGCCACTACATACTTACATTTAAATGTGTGCTGCGTCGGTTCAGCCATTCTCCGCAAGGGTTTTTGAAATTGGTCCGTGCGCAAAGCATTGTGGGGATTTTAAGGACGCGAAGTCTACCCATGTGCAGCCTGGAAATTACCCCCAAACCAAGGAAGTGGCCACGGTGGAATTCCAAGTATGCTGGAGATTGGAACAGTCCTTTGGCGGCACTCGATGACGTAGCATCCTTGAAATATTGGCTTTGAAGCCAGTTTCCTCGAGATTGAGAAACGGCCTGTGTGTATTTCAGCTATTGGGACGTCCTTCAAAATGGCGTGTCTTGATCGATTTCCAGGTCAAGTCCCGGAGGAGGGGAAGAGAGGAAACGAGGAGGGGTATTGGGATGAGGCTCTGGAGGATGCCCTTTGATTGAGTGTACTTGCATTTAAATGTGTGTGTTTTTTTATACCTCGGGACTGTGGGAAAGAGTATTTCGACAATCAAGTTAACTTTGATTAAATGGTGCATAGCCGGACCCAGGGAATTTATTTTTAATAAATAAGAGGTCCTGATTTCATTCAGGCAGAGAATCAAAACGGGGAAATGTCACCAAGAGGAAGAAATTCAACCCTTAGCTTTCATTTAAAAATGTATCTCAGGCTGCAACATGTATTAAAGGGGACCTATCATGCAAAATGCACTTTTTTATGTCTTTTATACATAAAGATGTGTCCCCGGTGTGTCAGGGAACTCACGCAGCGTCAGAAAACAAAACCCTCTCTCTTTTCCTCCGTACCCAAATCTCTAAAAACGGGGGAACAACGGAGCTGATCCAGATTTGCGTCCGATATGACGTAATATCTGAAATGTGGACCCACGGCCCAATCAGAAACGTTGCTATCAGAAACAATGCCCGACTGTTTTGGACGTAATATGGTCGGTGTTTACATTAGCATCGCTAACACAGTACTGGACAGAGCACATGTGTTAAAAACCAGGAAATAAAATAAGGAACTCACCTTGTAATAAACCCGCAAGAGAAAAAGCATTTGAGATACTGGCTGTTTCTCAATCGCGAGGATACTGGCTTGGTAGTCGCGTACTTCCAAGTCACTTCCTTCAGAAACGAAGCAAGTATGCTTCCAAGCCACGGCTTCGGAAAACAAAGAAGAATGGAACAGGCTAACAAGTGTGCCACTCTCTCTAACGGTTTCAACATAAACTGTACCGAAAATAAATACCTCACGATGTCTATCTAATTATGAACTTGCTTTACTTTCACGGAACACATTTTTGGAGATAACAAACAAATGTAACAAAGTAACATATTTACCAACACATGTTCTACGCCACTACATACTTACATTTAAATGTGTGTTTCGTCGGTTCAGCCATTCTCCGCAAGGGTTTTTGAAATTGGTCCGTGCGCAAAGCATTGTGGGGATTTTAAGGACGCGAAGTCTACCCATGTGCAGCCTCGAAATTTCCCCCAAACCAAGGACGCGGCCTCGGTGGAATTCCAAGTATGCTGGAGATTGGAACAGCCCTTCGGCGGCACTCGATGACGTAGCATCCTTGAAATATTGGCTTGGAAGCCAGTTTCCTCGAGATTGAGAAACGGCCAGTATCACTGACAAGTATACACAATATAACAAGCGAAGAAGAAAAAGGTGATTTAAATTAGTCTTGCAGTGAAGATTACATTATAATGGATGAAATCTCTTGGGTGTAAAAATCCATACAATACTCTAAAGTCGAAATGCATTGCATACTAACTTTTGTCAAATCAAGCTTATCGTATTAAGATACATATTCAGTATTCACATTTTCTGTTCAGACCCAGGGATTGGGTAATCAGCTATTTTCAGTAGGCCCACAGGGACCGATGTTCATATTGACTGTAGACCTGTTGCATAATGCATCCACTTCATAACGGCATCTTGCTCGAGATAGTCAGAATTTTCTGAACGAGAACGAGAAGCATGAGCAATGCAGATTTCACTGTAGAGAAATCAAATATTAATGCCTCTTCCTTTCGTATTCACGGTTCTGTGGGGAGCAGCTTCTCAGAATAGTCGTCCTGATAACAGCGTTTTTCACGACCGTAATCACTATGCATGCTCTAAAGGCAGCTGATTTTATGGCGCTCCTTCTCAAAGGGTCAAGGCTATTTGCTCTTCTTTATACGTCTATGCTATGAAATATATTTTTTACAAGTCAACTATTTTTTTTTTTCTTAAATAAAGATCAGTGATGTTTTGGGAAATGTTGAACTGCAAATATGATCAAATGGTGCAAGATACTTTGAAAGCCATACATGGATATCCACTCAAATGCATACTAAAAATAAAGCAGAGAATATAAAAGCAGCAATAATGTTGGAGATCCTTAAACTGCGAGTGAGATAAAATGTAACTTTTAATTTGTGTTAGAGAAAAGATTGTTAAGAAATGATTAAATATCCTTGAATATATTTAAATACTACATATACTGCCTTCAGCTGATCATTAAAAACTCATAATGAACCACCTTGCATCATATCCTGTATGTATGAATCAGTATATATATTAATGTTTAAATATTTTTAATACAAAAGATTTTGTTATTTTAATAATTGTATGCTGTTTTTCGGCTTCTTTTATATTATGTATGCATTATGTAAAGCCTTTTTAGAAGGGTTTGTGTATGAAATGTGCTCTACAAAGACCTGCCTTAATCCTTAAAATACAAAAGAGGTGATGTGACAATGGGAAAGGTTTATCATTGTGTATGTAAGTGATGCAAATACCACCTAATATAATGGAACGTTAATCTCCGATTTATGCGTGCATAAACTGCCATTCAAACAGACAACACTACAATGTGTCGGACAAGTTTTAGCATTCAGTGAGAGTGAGATCATTGGATCTTAACGTCATGACTGCACAGACACGATCTCACTTGAAACCTGAGCTGTTGAATACAATGTCTACGGTACAGCACCAAGGTGTCCCCCTGTTTTAAATGAAAACATGTTGATGCTGTAATCCTGTGATTTTTTAATAACTGTTAACTCTTGTCCTTTTTCTTTTTGTGCTTGTTCCTGCAGGATGGGATCCCTGAGAGCTTGAGGATGAAGGGTGAGTTTCCATTTCTCATTTCTTGCTCTTCTTTCTTCTCCTATGACATGCAATATACCCAACATGCATTGTACACACTAGAGGCTGGGTGTAGGGCTGGTGTCTGATGGAGGCCACAGTATGGCTTAACCTGTTTTTCAGGCCTCAGGCTCGAAAATGACATTCCCAGACTATATCTTCACTTTTAAAAGTGGTAAATTAATCATCTTTTAACTCAAAGCAAGGTTACACCTGTGAGTTGGATGTAGAAAAGTCAGAATCAATATAGAATGTTTTTATTTTAAAGTAAATTCAGATTGAACATAATAAAAAATGTTAATTATTGTGTCCGTCCAAAAAATCCCAAAAATCCCAAAAATTTACTTATAGTGAAAACCACCCTTGAATGAGGTATCGGAGACTAAAAGCTTTAGGAATCCAAAGTACAACATATGATAAGTACCCTGTATCAAGATTGATGCAAAACAAGTGACATTTGACCTTTTTAGAGAGGTTTAGAAAAAAAAACCCACTTCTGGGGTCATTTGGGTGGATTTTCCAAATCTCTGGAACCCATCGGTCGATTTTGATGATTGACACCTCTTTTGAACCGTTAGAGCCAATAGAATCGAGTGGAAGTTCCTAAATAAATCTAAACATTACCCATTGGTGAATGAGTGATGCATAGCCAGAATGCCCCGGAACCGGAAGCTACACACTCTAGTAGCTATCGTAGCTATCGTAGCAGCTAATATGAAATCTCCGTAATTGACATACAAATGGAATGATGGATTATCAGTAATCATTTCAAAGTGACACAGACACATTGGATTAACACATCTGCTGTAGGATCCTTTGGACTACCCTCATTTTTGTATGTGAAGCAGAAGAAAACACCTCATACAGAGCACCTTTAACTCAAATCTCCACTCTAGGAAATCCATTTGGAGCACAGCACTGTATCATCTTCCCCCTCTGCCTCAATGTGAAGATCTCACAAGATAATCACATTTTGAAACACAGTCAACCAAGCATGCTCCGGGGCAAACATTTCCCATGGTGATTTATGCTGGTTTTCACTTACTAGGTTCTTCTAAATGCATAAAAAAAAGCATACATGTAGTTTCCCACAGTGACAATTACCAGCCACTGACGCGTGATATTTGTTGAGACATTGTTTAATGCCAGAGTCATGTGTTGTACTGCAACATGTACGAGTAGTGAACAAGCTTGGACAGATTTCGGAAAACAACCCGAGTGTTTTGGCCGTTAAACACGTCGGCATAAAAATCATAAAATGTCTTATGTATGTAAATATGGGTAGTTGTCTAACGGGCCTTGGAACAAGTTGAAGAGGGCGAGTAAGGATGGGATCAGAGATAAACAATGTTTTTAAAAAAAAATAAGCTCAAACCTTTTTGTATCAGTTTAGCGGCAGTGTAGTGGCAAAAATAAATTCACATTTGATGAGAATGGAGTTTTGTGCTTTAGTGTGTAAAGTACAAAATACATTTTTTAATTAGTGTTTTGGTTTATCTTTGTAAATGCAAACCAGTAACTCATCATCATTAATACAACGTTGTTTTTGTTCATCTGCGTATACATACAATCTCCCCTCTAAAAGCTAAAGTTTGTAGAGGAATTAAGTGTGTGGATTTACTGATTTACTTTATTCAAAAGGTTACACTTTATACCAAAGAGAGGAATTGCAGTTTAATTCTCAGCTCCAAACAAAAACAATGTCTGCAGTGAAGATACCATCAGAAACTCCTACTTAACTTTATACAATTTTGTTAGGAAACGATAATTAGCTAAATACTAATACCTTGAGTTCTGTCGATTTCTGTTTTTTGTACAAGATTAAACTGGTGCAATAAAAACCGTCAGAAACAGCATTATCATTATGACACATTCTGTAAAATGAAGGAATAGCCTACATCAAGCACCATTATCTATTGTCATTTAAAACAGTTACTTTCAGCCTCATGTTCCTGTGGCGCAGGGCGGTGTGGAGGCATTAATGCGCTTCAGTCCTCTTGTTGTCTGAGGGATGCATCTCATCTGTCAACCTGCCACCTTTCTAATGTCTTCTCTGTCTCCTCTAAACAAGAGTCAATGTCAGGCAAAAGGGTGATCCCTCTGCCCAACATGTCTGCCACTAAGTGTTTGAAAGGGCGGCTAAATGGACGTCTCCCCATCTTTCTTCACCAGGGAAGGTCGAAGCAGTAATTGTAGAGGGTGCATTACCATAAAGGGCGGCCCCAGCTGTCTGCTGTGATTCACTTTAACGCGCCATGTTCTGTAAGCCGAAAAAAAAGAAGGGATATCTCACTTTGGCCAGTTTTCAGCAAACTCATTTCCAGGCCAGTTAACGAGAAGGAGAGCGAAGTGTACAGAAAAGCATGTATAATTCAAGCATCACCCCGTACATTGAAGGCTTCTCATTATTACACAACTGAGGTCAGTTTAGTGTAAAAACTTCAATTTTACAAGCTACGTAACAATGTACTTTTCAAATGGACATCAAGCTATACCGAAATTAGAGAAGACACAGGAACAGCTGAGCTGAGTACAGTAATACAGTTAATTTGTACAAAAAAACTTGCGAACAAACTCCTAGTGCAGAAAAGGTAAGAATTAGGTCTTTGTTTCAAACTCCTGCAGAATAAATTCATGATGTTTGTGGGCTACATTCATTTCCATAACCTAAAGCAGGGGTGGGTAACCTCCGGCCCCCGGGCGAGACCATTTGGTACGGCCCTCGAGGTAATTTATAAACACACGCAAAAAAGAAAAACATTTAAGAAATCTAGACCGCAACAAAATTAAACAAGCGAGTGCCTGTTTTTCCTGGCCAAGGTCAGGGTCCTTGAACACAACACGAGCCATCACGTGGTATATGTCTCGTCAAACAGGGGTGCAGTGCTGACGGAGAGCACCAGAACACGGCTCCGGCACTTCAGATAAGGAGCCGTACACATGCCGCAGTTTTTGCGTGGCTGTGTCTTTAGTTGAAAGCCCAGTGGCGATCTGTTCATCTGTCATACTAATCATACAGTCAATAACTTGAGACTTTTAACATACTTTGCTTCTTTAAATTCATAACCAGTTGACATCCTGTTTTTATTTTGGGCTAGTTAATTCCCTTTCAATCTTGCTCGGTACTAGAACACACACGTACACATGACTAAATATGTATTATGTTAATTTCTTATTTTATAGTTATTTACCTATTGTTACCTTTTTTTATTAATCAGTGTTAATCTGTGCTGTCCTGTTTTTCAATCTTACCCTGTTGCTGTTAAACTACTTAATTTCCCCACAAGGATTAATAAAGGTCCATCTTATCTTATCTCATACATAAATGTGTTGAAATGTCCACACTGCACACACGACACACTGTAATATTCATTGCACTGCGATAGACTGGCAACCTGTCCATGGAGCGTCCGACTGCAATCATTCACTTAATGTGTGCTACAACCCTGAACAGGATGAGCCGTTTAGAAAATGGATTGCAGGATATTATATTCCTACATTTAGTCTGGATGAGGAAAACAAAAAATAATTATAGATCCGGGAAATGCAGCGCCCTATAAACTCTACAAACTGAATGTCATCACGGAGGAGACAAAGACAGACAAATGCCAGCCGGATTCCAGCTCGCTCTGTAATTGGAGTCCCAGAACGAGCGCCACACTAACCGAGCCTGTTATGAAGGCTGTAGCGAGACCTAGGGCTGCCAGTGAAATGCAATTTTATGTAATAAATTGACTGATTTGGCCATATGAAATACCTGATGGAAGTTTTCGAGATAATCTAGCCTTCCTCATTACGTGTAAAAGCTGTCAGCGATGGCAACACCGTTATGAAGGATGATCGGGATGGGGTGCAAACGAGAGCCTAAGACACCGTTAAAGCTGGTGTTTGCGACAACGTTCAGTGCTGCGACTTGTGTTATTTCAACAAATGTCAAATCTGTTTAGGTGTAAATCAGGTTATTATGCTACCAGGTGACTGCTCAGGTTTTCATTTCATATTTGTTTGAGAGTAAAACTAATATCTAATCCTTGAAAGTGAGGGTAAAGAATCGATAACTTTAAAGCTTTTTTTAAATTGACAATAGACAATTTATATATAGTTTGTGCAGAATAGAAGTAAGTGCTCGTTTGACATTCACACATTCAACCCTCTCTCTCTTGAATTGTTCTCTGTGGGCTTCTGTTAAGCCTGCCTCAGCATAAACATTCTCAGGCATACAGTAACACTTATTAGCCTTGATCCTTGAAGGAATTGGGCCTTGGAAGTTATTGATATTAATGTTTAAGAAGGTTTGGGAAACTGAATACAACTTCAGTGAATAGAGCCGAGCATCATTTCTAAACACTTAAAGGTCCCCTATTATACTGTTTTTCATCAATATATCATAGCTCTCAGATATATACACACATGTCTCTGAAGTGTTTGGCTCCAAACACCAAACAGATCATTGCAGCATTACCCATAATCCCCTCTGTTTCAGCCCTGTTTCAAAAGTGTTTCTGTTACTTTAGATGAAAATAAGGAGCCCCTCCCCACGCCCCTCTGAGAGAGATTTGGTTAAAAAGAACACAATGGTGCTCTAGGAGGAGATTCAGGTGATAAGGTGGGGGGGGGTTACATTGGTTGGTGATTGGCTAATGGTTACACAAGCCACAACATCGTTATGACATCATAAAGTGGCGACAATCTGATTTTCAGACAGGTTTTTATAGAAATGGATCAGGACAAAAAGTAAGAGAATCTTTTCTCCTGAAACGTTCAGAATCTCTTCACACAGAGGGGACACATGTTGATGTAGAAGAGACATAAAAAATTGGATTTTGCATAATAGATTACCTTTTAAAGAAATAAACAATTCAGATTTGTTCAGAATAAGTTGGTATGGATAGTAATACTAGAAAACAGGCATATTGTGATATCTGCAGATGCTCTCCATAATCTGCTTTGGAAGGAGATTGAACAGGTTTTTTGGGTCGCAG